TAGCTAATTTGCAAAATTATTGGTAATTAAATAATTTCACTATTAAGATGTTATGATTATTCGAATTGTTGCCCCATTGTAGAAGAGGTAGCCACCTACATGGTCGATTATTCAAAATTTTAATCCTTTGCGACAGATGTATGAGGGATAGGTTTCCAACATTGTAAATTTACAAAATGTTTAACTTTTGTAATAGAGGTACCAGAAGGGCTGGAGCGATATTACTCATCATAGGACCCGATCTAAATTTCGTAAACATATTACGATGTGTTAAGTTTATATTAAATCTAACAATTTGTTCGACAGAGACATAATTTATCCTGAAACCTCCTCATGTAAAAATACTGAATAAGGGACCTTACAAATCACAAAAATTCTGGACCTATACTATAGTTACTTACCACTAAGATGACAATATATCACTCTCTTAAATAAGGGGTATGTCATTGTGTCAAAAATTGGACATCGAAGATTTTTAAAAATTGTCAAACGTGAGTGTAAACAATATTTTTCAAGGACTTGCAGGACACAAAAAATATTGGACTTAGAATTTATTAAGGGACATTTACTGGCTATATAAGCCTTGGATTTTTTAAACATATTTTTAAATACTTCATTATCGAAAGTTGTACATTTCTAAGGAATATACAGGATGAGATGAAAAAACTGGAACCAACTTCAGACTGCTGTCATTTTTAAACCAGTCTTCCGACAACTGTTAATATTATTCCAGTGGCAGCTCATTATATTGTTTACAAGCGTACAAAAGCATTTTGGTGAGAATTTTCCGGAAAAAAAGTTATTCGGTATGGAATTCATGCGTGATAGTGTGATATATTTATATTTGGCTGGAAAACCACAAGTGGCTAACGTCAGAGCACTCCAGCATTTAAATGTGAATAAATCTTTGTGTCTCGTACCATCGCTCGTTACCGCGATACTGGTAGCGTAGCCCGACGTCGAGGAAGTGGACGGAAGAAAACAACAACATCAGCAGAAACGGTTCGAAAAGTAAAGAAGCGACTTGATGGAAACCCGCGTCGCAGTGGCCGAAAAATGGCTCGTGGCCTGATTCGCAATATTCCATTAGGTAAATATTGAAAAATAAGCTCGGGGTAAAGCCATTGAAATTCCAAAAAGTGCAAGAAAGAAAATAGACTCAAAAGAGCTAAAGAGTTGCTTCGCTTGGCCGAAAGTGGTGAACTGCCGAATTTGGTTTTCTCCGATGAGAAAATTTTCGTTGTCCAGCAGTTTGTAAACACTAACAAACAAAATGATCGTGTTTACTTGCCAAAGAGACCAGCTGAAATGAGCACCTTCGGCTGGCCACCAAAACTCAAGCGCCGGCCATGGTGATGGTGTGGGCCGCCATAACAGCAAATGGTCGCTCTCCGCTCGTATTAATCGACAGTGGCATCAGAATAAATGCTGAATATTATCGCGAAAATATTCTGGAGGGTGTATTCAAACCTTGGGCACGCAAACATTTTGGCCGCAGACCTTGTACATTCCAACAGGACTCAGCACGCGCCCAATGGCCACCAAAATCTACGGATACCAATCCGTTAGACTATTGTGTCTGGAGTATTTTGGAAAGTGTCACCTCAAGCAAGCGCTTCGCCGGGAATGGACCAAAATACCACAGAGCAACATTCGGGCAGCGTGTGACGGTTTCATTGACCGTTTGAAGGCCATAATTCGTGCCAAAGGTGACCAATTCGAACAAATCTAAACTTATTCTAAAATTTCTTGCTATTTCCGACATGTTTTGCTTTCATTCAATAAAATATAAAAAAATAAAAATTATGAATTTTGACTTTGTTGCAGGTTTTCTATCTCCCCCTGTACGACTCAAGTCAAAATATATTTAAATGAAAGAAAAATCAGTTGGCAGAACAGACTTTTTTACTCTTGTTTGAAACCGAAGAATTCTTAAAAGATTCCTCAGCGACATCGTAGAAAAAAAATTTTGAAGGACACCCAGCAAAAATAATTTAAGAACTTTCTTACAAAAATGTGTTATTAAACGATTTCATGGCCGAAGAAATCGTGGAATCTCTAAAATATCTTTCAAGGTCATTTCGCTTATCGTATACTTTTTCAATATTTATTTATAAGTCGTGATTTTTTGAGAATATTTTGGGATATATGGCTAAAAACTATGGATTTCTTAAGAATGTTGAATAAAGAAACTCTCCGCTATATAAATCATGATGAATAAGAGTTTTCAAATGACTTTTTAAGAAAATTTCAAGTACTTATACTTCAAAGAATCTTTGATATTTTTTGAAAATCCTGGATTTTCTAATTTAAGGACATCCTGGGAAAATCGTATTCTTTTTTTTGAAATTTTCGAAATGTTTTGGATTTTTATACCCTACACCACAAGGTGGTCAGGGTATTATGTCTTTGTGCATTTGTTTGTAACAGGCAAAAAGGAAACGAGATAGACCCATAGTTCCTTTTGATGATCTGCATAGAATCACATTCTGAGTCGATTTATACATGTCCGTCCGTCTGTCTCTCCGTCTGTCCATGTATTTTTGTGAACAAAGTACAGTTTACATTTATTGCCCGATCCAGATGAAATTTTGCACAAAACATTTGTTTGGTCCAAGGACGAACCCTATTGAAATTGGAGATAATCTGTAAAATTTAAATATAGCTCCCATATATATCTACGTCCGATTTGCCTTTTATTGTGCACTAAACGTCTAATATTTGCCCAAATGGGATGAAATGTGGCACTTACGACCGAATTGAGTCTAGAAGATAGAATTTGGTGAATATCGGTTCAGATATAGTTATAGCTCCCATATATATTGTTCATCCGATTTGTTATATTTGTTACCCACACCGTAATATGCACTCCGTAACAAGGATATTCAGGAAAATATATGAAATACAGCTCAGAAACATCTTTTGCCAAATTTTATCAAGATCGGTTCAGATTTGGATATAGATCCCATATGTATCAAATGGGCAAAACAAGTCCGAATTTAAAAGAAACAAGTGCTTCGGCATATTTAGTCCTTTGAACTTTAAATTATAATTATAATGAAAGCGTGTATGATTGAATTCTCCCATAAAAGCTTTTAATTGTTATGTGGAGCTCTACTAAAAACAAAGTGGTGTAGGGTATCATAAAGTCGGTCCCGTCCGACTTTAAGACTTTCTTTACTGGTTTAAAAATATTTGCTGCTTCGTCATATATACAGTTTTCTGATCCTGAGATTTTTAAAATATAAGGAATAGTGAAAAGATGTGATATGACCTCTCTCATAGATACTCAAATTATTCAAATATAAGTACACTCCTTCTGGAACCTTCCTAAATAAATTGTAATATACGCCAAAAAATTTAATATAACTAAAGCAAAGGTTCATCTATTTTTAACACTAATTGTGATTGTATTTTATGCAAATTTAATATTTTTTCATAAGGTGGACTGATATTGCACATTTCCCAAAATATTGACCCTAAAACTTAAATAGTTTGGAAGCTGTGGTAGAGTTAATATCAAAAGTACTTTAGGTTCCCAAAAAGTACTTTAGGTTCCCAATTTTCTAGAAGGATTTGATGGATCTTTTATTAGCCCGTAACCCTTTTTTGGCTATCCTTTTGACTAGAGTATTGTACAACCCTTAACTACTTCCAATTGCTTTTCAAAAAGAAATACTTTCTCTTTTATTGATTTCACTTTAATGCTGAACCGGAAGGGAGTGGCAACAACTAGTATTTAGAAACTCTTCTCTTTTTAATGGCCAACCAGAACAATAGACAACCAAAATACGAGATAATTGGAAATTGCGAAAAACGTAGAAGAAGATATCAATTAAAGGCAATAACAACTCCAGTACTAAAATCAACAAAAAAAAATACAGTAGCAATAAATGGACAACAATGAGTCACAATGGGAGCAACAACAAACGGCTGACCAAAAGCGGTGCAAGAAAACACCGCTCTCGAACGGAAGGAACAACAAAACTCCAAATCTGGTTTATGGGTCAGATAGGAAATCTGGTCCCTCTCTCTGTCTCTCTATCCTGGCTACTAAAATAATAATGTTTACATAGCAATTAAAAGCAAATAAAACAAAATTTATTGGGCAACCGAACAAAAAAAAAAAGAAAGAAAATAGATTTTCGAGGGACAGAGCGAGCGATATAGGGAACCGAGTTCTGGGTGGGTGAGACAAGGAAAGCAGGAAAACATTTCCATCGAAAGATCATGAATGCACTTTACATAATTCCGTTGAGAGCTGTGTGATCAGTGGCCAGTGATGAGCAATGAATTATTCGCCATGTGTGCCTGTGTGGGTGGATTGATAGATCCTGGTGGAGGACAGGAAATAAAAGGGAATTTGTTGTTTTCATGCCATTTCAGTTTTTGCCGCATATGGCTTTCTCTTTTTGGTTTATGCGACATATTGGAATGTCTTGGCCAAAAACAATTTTTCTGCTTAACAACTGTTGTTATCCTCGCTGTAATCCCAAGAAATGTAGTAACAACAAATTTAAGCCATAAATTGTCACAGCGGGTATTGTAATGTCTCGTGAAAAAATCCTTCAAGTTTATGTATCCTCGCTGATCCTGGCCGTTTTCCTGTGTCCTCGAGAAATCCAAGAACAACACAAAGCCATGTAAAACGCGAGATTTTATGATGCCTTGTAAACCGGCCAACGCTGAAACTCAATGCTAGTCCACGGCCCGAAATTCCCCGTAAAAATATTCATGAAAACATTTTTATGAAAAACAAGGGGATTACTGCAAGGATTTTATGACTAGGTATGCATGGATGGAGGGATATGCTTGCAACGGATTCCTTGTGTGTGTGTTTGAAGGTGAGAGAGTATGTAGCCATGGCTGAGAGCGCAGGTAAAACGACAACCTGCCCACGGCCAGGTAAGAATTTTGGCCAGCCAACATTTCTACGTTTTTCCTTGGAATTACGCGAAAATTTTCACCTGAGCTCGCCCTGGTATATAAGACCTTGCGACCTAACCAAGGTATGCTCAGTTAGCAATTGATCGTTCTCAAGACAACACAAGCAATTTTGAAGTGTAGAAGTTTTGTAAATTTTTGAATACCATCCATTCCATCAACGAAAAATAAAATTCAAAATGGGTTGCTGTTCATCTACCAATGCCAATGAAACACTTAATGGATATTACGCCGCCACTGCCCAGCAAAGACAAGGCTCCAAACGTAGCTACTCGAGCCGCATTAGCTCTGGCAGTTCGGGGGTGTCAAGTGCCTGCACTTCACCCTCACGCCGTAGCATTTTGAGCCGCAGCAGTACCGACTCCACACCAAATGGCCCCAAAGCCAAGACCAAGAATTTCACATTGACCCACAAGGATATACCCAGCAAAGCTTTGGAAATGTTATCGATTTGTGATGATTTCGGTGAAGTTGGACGCATGCAGAATAAATCCTATGGTTATTACTCCGAGTCGAGTTCTCCATCATCATCACCCTCCAAGGATTGCCTTAGACGTACCCAGGATACCAGCAGCTTGACATGTGAGGAACAGGCCGTGGCCGTTACACCCACTCCCAGCGATTTGGAAATGGAAATGTACATGATGTCCCATTCCCAGGGATTAATGCCCAAGACTTCATCGCCAATATTCCATAGACGTGATGTTACCTATGATGCGGTGGCCCAGGCCTCACCACCCTCCCAATCCTATCAAAAATGGTCCAATTATTTGCAATCTACCCCAGCCTATATGTTACACAATGTCACCAACATTCCCGAAGCCATTGCCGGACATTTCAGTCCTTTGGATTTCCCTGGATTCACCGATCTCGAAGATATGGAAAGTGCAGCCAAGAGATTCAAGGCCGACATCCACAAGTCAGCCATCTATGAAAGTGCCGAGGAAGATGAGGTATTTTATCAGAAACAAATACCCAGACCTTCCAATCTAACACACACCATCTCCACGGAACTGTAAGTCACAGACAGTCTCAGCGTGAGAGAGAGAGAGAGAAAACAGATTCCATCTTCATTGAACTTCCGCCCGGTTTCGGAAGTCCATGCAAGATGTTCAAATCATTAATGCCCCATGACGGCCCAAGGCCCAGGCAAAGCAACAGGTGTGCTGTAACAAAAAAAATACTTTCATAGGAATCACAAATGACGACTACTGAAACTCTCAAACTTTTGTAAAATATTTCAATATTTATTCAGAAAGACCAAAAGTTGCACAGGTTTCAACGATAAAAAATAACACAACATATCTTCATCAAGGAAAGCAAATGAAAACTCATACTTTTTCAAAAAAAGGAAAAAATTATCTATGGATTCATGGAATGAATTCAATGAAAAAAGTATTTGAGATTTTCGAAAAGAAAACCCCCTAATCATTCCCTCTAATTACATGCCAATATTTAATCAAATTAAATTAAAACAACAAATTGTGTATAAAATTGTAATTGTAGTTTTTAAGGTCTTAGAAAATAATCAAAATAAAATAAAAACCCAATTTTAAAAGAAACAACATTTCTTTACAAACATAATCATGCAAATGACTTTTTATTTAAATTATCTTAATTTGGGAAAATTACCAAAAAGATATTGGAAGGGGGAGGAGTGCCCATTAGCCCTGCTAATGTTTATTTTTTGCTTTGACAACAAATCGACAAGTTGAGTAATTTATTCTTATCACCACCACCACCACGACTACTCGGACAAAGTCATTATCAATGATTTTCATGGAGTTTTCCTTTTTCGAGGAGACGCCAAATGATTCAATGGCTGCTTGATAATTTTACCCAATTACTTGTCGCATTAGTCGTCTTCCCGCTGAAATGCTGGCAAATTTGTCAATTTATTTGTTAAAAATTAGTTTTACTTAATGACGAAATCATTAAGGGATTTTTATCTACTTGAAATCTCAATGAAGTGTGTTGAGAAGGTACAGGACATTAAAATAGAGAAAGGGATAATGAAATGCAAAGAAATTAGCAACAAAAGGCAGGGACTGAGACAGTCTGAACCAATTTTATATTCGGACGAAGAAATGAATTACATTAGGCGCCAACCCTATAAGATTTTCTTTATAAAAGAGCATAGACTAGATTCCTAAGAGAGCAATAAGTATATTATGGCAAAAGTTAAATAATTTACCCTTATAGGCTGAGATTAAAAATACTCCAAAAATCAAACTTTATAGTGCAGAGAAGTGCTACGGTTTTTGAAACTTCCAAAAAATTAGGTCTTTGAAAAAATCTCAACAAGTCAAACCAATAAAATCAGAAGAATCCTATGTTAAAAGTCCCAGGGACACTTCAAAATATTAGAAGTTTTCCAAAGAAAATTTAGAAATACGATTTTCTTAGCCATGAATTAGTCCAAACATTTTTTCGGAAACCCAAGATCTTGACTGAAAATTTCACGATTTTTTGTACAAAAATGTCTTGTACGCAAGTTTTTAATCCGCGATTTATAATTCATATCCAACAATAGTCAAAAAATCCTTAAGCAATATTTTAAGGAATCCACATTTCTAATGAACCTGACAAAATCTTGAAAATGCAAAAAAAAACACTATTCCTTATAATAAAAACCCTGAAAATTATTTAAATATATATATATATATATATATATATATATATATATATATATATATATATATATATATATATATATATATATATATATATATATATATATATATATATATATATATATACATATATATATATATATGTATATATATATATATATATATATATATATATATATATATATATATATATATATATATATATATATATATATATATATATATATATATATATATATATATATATATATATATATATATATATATATATATATATATATATATATATATATATATATCTATACATATTTTGCTATATATCCAATTTGTTGGATGTTAACATCAATGTTAAGATCAGAAGTAACCTTGTCATGGCTTTGTTATTATGCCGGGATTTAAAATATTCGCGGTTTAATTTAAAATTTTGAATTTTTTCAACACAAAAGATATGGTCCACTTTACCCGCTAAATATTATCCGATGACCACCCAAATAGGTAGGCTTCTTTCCCGCCCTAAACTATAGCTACATGCGAAGTTCCGCGTCGATTGGTCTATAATTGCGACCTGTATAGCTACTACAAAATCCGACATTTTTTCAGTTTTTGGTCCACTTCGACCCCTAAATATTATGCGATCATCTCCAAAAGAAACAGGGTTCTATTCTGACCCACGTTTCTAATGTACCAGGAAGATTATTGAGATTGCCAAAACAAAATCCAGTATTTCTTGCCATTAAATCCTTGAAATGTATTAAAAAATCCAAGTTTTTGATTTTTTTAATTTCATGATTTTTGGAAAATATTCGAAAAAAAACTCTATTATTGGCCATTAAATCCTTCAAAAATATTTTAAAATTTCTCGACTTTTGGTCAGTTGACTAACAGCCTAATGAAAATAACGATTTTCTATTACTTTACATTATTTTATTTTAATTTCGAAATGTCGGATTTTTTTAAACGTATATTAAATATTGGCTATTCTTTGTCATGAGGTCCTTGAAAAATATTTTATGAAATCTACAATTCTTTTAAAATATTCTTTTTAAAAATATTTAAAAAATCAGCGATAGCTGAAGAGTCCTTTATAAAAACGTTTCAGCAGTTGATTTTTGTCCAGAAAGGCTTTATTAACATTTTTCAAAATCCATCTGAAAATTCTTGAAAATATTAGAGAAAGCCATGATTCTTGGCAATAATGTCCTTGAAAATTACAAAAAAAAAAGTCCTTTCGCATGTACTCCATGATTCTTAGCCATTAAATCGTTAAAGCATTCAAAAAGTCTCACGAAAATTGAAAATGGAAAATATTTAACAAAAACCATTAGAATAAAGAAATTTAAATAAATATACAATTGAAAATTTAAAAAATATACATTATTTAAATATAGCCATTTTCATGAAAAAAAAATCTTAAAAAGCCATGAACTCCTTAGAAAAATTGCAACGAAATTCACGTTTCTTGGCCACGAAGTCTGCACAATTTATGTAGACGAGAGTTCTTCAACAAATATATAGGGATAAATCCTTTATTTTCATAATTAAGTCCTTGAACATGTGTTAAATAAGTTCACGATTATTGTCCAAAAAGTTCTTAAAAAATATACACTAATAATGTCAGTAGGTCCATAATAAATATGTAAAGAAATCCATAGCCTGGCAAAAAAAAAAACTAAAAAATATACATAAATTCACAATTCACATTTCTTGAAAATATTCTTAAAAATCCAAAATTTTTGGTCTTGGCCCAATATCTTTGAAAAATATTTCAAGAAATCGACAAGTTTTGGTCATAAAGTTTTAAAAATGTTTTCTAAAGTCTAAGATTTTATAAAGCAAAATTCTTCAAAATATATTAAAAACTTCCCGATTCATGGCAATGGAGTTCTTGAAAATTTTGCTTAAAATCAATTTCTTTTTGGATTAGTGGTTCCTCAAAAAAATATTAGAGAAATACACGATTTTTGGCCTTAAAGTTTTTAAGAATTTCACGAATCATATTTAAAAAAAAAAAAACAAAAAAAAAATTAACGAATTTTGGTCAGGAAGTCCTTAAAAATATCTAATAAAATCTACGATTCTTGAGCAAAAAACAAGATTATTTTAAAGCCATAAATTCCCCCTAAAATATTCTTAAAATTCCAATAATGATCAGAAGTGAAGAGGTCACTTCTGGTCTCGCCAGGATTAAAGATATTCGCGGTTAATTGAAAATTTTCGTATTATCTTATATAAAAGTTAGGGCCTATTTCATATTTCCTGCTAAATATTGTCCGATGAACATCAAAATTGGAAGGCTTCTACCCAGCTCTAAACTCGTAACTCCATGCTAAATTTCGTGTCGATTGGTCTGTAATTGTGGCTCGTAGATCCACTGAAAAAATCAGGAAAATATTCTGTTTTTGGTCCATTTTAACTCCTAAATATTTTGCGATCATCTCCAAAAACAATGGATTCTATTTTGACCCTAACCCAACCCATATTTCTCTCAATTTCGTGAGGATCGAGCCATAATTGCGACCTGCATCTTGATTACAAATTAACATGAACAGTCCAAAAAGTTCACGTTTTATTGAGTTTAAGAAGAAATGTGAAAAATCCAAAATTTTATGTTGGTACTTCTAGAACAAAAGAATGAAATATGGGAATTTCGGAGGAAATGTCGATATCAAACGGAGAAGTTCGATATTCACCTATGATCTCGAATTTAATCAAACAGAATCGCTGACTTGTTTCGTACTTATCAACATTTTGACCCGTTGTAGGGGAGGCATCAAAAAGAGTTGGCCGATATCCACCATCTTCAAATCACACCTTGGGTTAGTAGAAATATTGGAATGTTTGAAGTTTAGAATGAGTCAGCTGCTTGTTTCGAATATAATAGAGATATAATTATTTGGACCTGTTGTGTGGGAGTTACCAGAAGGAGTTGTGCGATATATTTCGTCTTCACACAAGACCTTGGGTTAATAAAATTATTGAAATGTGTGAAATTTGAAGGCAATCGGACTCTTACATCACATTTTATAAGAATTGTAGTTATTTAAAATTTTGACCATTTGTGGGGGAGGTACTTAATGGAGTGGACCGATATTGTCCATTTTCGCACCTGATATACATATCAGGATTTGCAAAGTTGGACAAAATCGGATAATCCTTTATCTTTCTGTGTTCTAAAGTATTTTTTTGAAAATGTCGAACTTTTGTAGTTGAGGTACCAGAAGCAGTTGACCTTTATTGTTCATCTCCGAGCTCGATCTAAGTTTAATAATAATATTACGGTGTACAAAGTTTGAACCAAATCCGATACTCCCTTTGGGAGTTATCGTACGCACCAAAAAGCCAGAGAGACAGACAGGTGGACGGATGGACATCGCTAGATCGTCTCCAAATGTCCTGAAACGCATTTGGTTTAAATCCGTTACTTAGATATGTGCCTCTTCTTGGCCGTATCAAATGATATAACCCTACTGTAGCCACATGGTTGGGGTATACAAATGTTTTGTCAGGGAGGTTCCAGAAGAACTGAACCGATATTGCCCATCTCCGAATTCGGTACCCACCATACAGATAGAGGCACATCGCAAAATCGACTCCAAATGTCCTGAAACGAATTTGGCCCAAAGAGGCCTAGGATCTGAAACGTTATTTCGATGATACACATTTTGGCCGTATCAAATGATATATACCCTCTGTAGCCATATGACTGAGGGTGTAGAAATCAAGAGCTGAAAATTGGCCTTGAAAGTATGTAAATCTCATAGTTTTTGATGTTTGCTTTAAATTCACTGACCTCCTAATAAAAAAATAGAGCTACTCGTCTAAAGTAGTCCCACACACTAGAAAATTTTAAATAGCAGACGGTTTTGAAATAACACAATGCCATTTATCCCAAAATGGATTTATGATTATTAATATCTCAATCATATTTTAAACGTCAGTACTATATTAAAA